GCGGCTGCCCTCAGATACTGTTTCAGGTGCATCTTTTCTATATCCTGGCCACCGGCTCAGCGCCGGTTCAAGGACCGTCAAAACAAATGGCAAAGGCAGCTCAGGTTATAGATTTCTTTGTCTATTTTTCACTTTACTTTTTTTTAAAAAGGCAATTCTCAGAGCAGCTACTCCACCACGCACGGTGAAATGTGCACATGCAGCCATGAAAGAGTGGGCCTTAGTCCTAGGCAAACACTCCCCGAAGGCTACATGCGTGCTACAGGTCATGAAAAATATGAAATAAAAGTTTTAGGCTTTTACGCAGTGGAACCTCCCCCTCTTGAGGGCTGGAAGAATGCATAGTGAAGTGTGGCGGGTAAAATGCGCGTTCTTTCCGCCCCTGAAGCGGTGATCTCTATTGACGGCTTAGGCGTGCTAGGCCTCGGTTGTAAAATAGGTTTCTACATCAACTTGGAAATCAGTGGGAAAGTACCTTGGCAGTAAGCAGGTCGAGGACTACCTCTTAGTGTATTCAGGCAAGATGGCTGAGCGGGCCTAAATAGCCAAACCTGTCTTTGTTAAGGCTTCAAAACTAGATCAAAAGAGAGTATTGTGTTTCGGTATTGACAGCTTTCCACTTATTGACTGCAGGCCTCCTTTTGGGCAGTTCACCACGCTCCTGTTTTACTCAGTACAAGTAGTTACAAAATAATTCAAGTAATTGAAGTTGTGATAACCGTTTTGTCAGTAACAGAGCTGGCTGTGCAAGAAATTAAGTAGCCCGTGTGGTTTCAGGATTGGCGGGACCAACTCTTACATTTTGCAGGAGTGGGAAAGTAAGGCAAAGGCCCCACCCCCATCAAAGTGGACTATTTATTTTGCATCTAATAAAGGGTAAAGGAGGCCCTTTTCTGAAATTGCTGCCTGAGGCCTAGGATTTAAATATATCACAGATGGAAATTCTGTATTAAAAATCCTTCTCCAAAATGTAAGTAATATTATTATTCTTGATTGAATTTTTTCACTTAAGGAATGTTCCTTGAACCAGTTTCAGAAAATAAACTGTTAAATTCTTTCCTTAGGACCATGAAATTACCCTAGAGAAGCAGACCACCCGACTATTTCTTCAGTTGGTGTAGTGACTGAATTCTCCAAATCAAAAATCAGGACATATGGCTTGACCTGTACTCAAGAACAAAGGAACAAACCCTGGGAAGCTGAAATAAGCTTATAGAATATGCTTCATATGTTGGGAAACCATTGGTTTAGGGGTGTGAATAGGGAAGGCTGGGTTAGTGAGAATGATAGATAAGCTCATACCGCCGGTTAACTATTGAGTCCACCCACCCCATCCAACCTTTTTCAGAGCTGCTCTCAAACAGCATAATTAAGTAACTTAAATTTCAGATTCTCTTCTTTTCTCCTTGACCCTTAAATAATAAGCACTGAAATGGCCAAAGGCTGACTACAGGTGAAGAAGGAAAGAAAGCACATGAGCTATGTACAAAACTAAGACCTTACACCCAAAGAAACTAAAATTAATTTTAAATTCCTCTTTCCAAAAATCCATTTCAGAGCCATTCTCTGTAGATAATTTTTGGACGGTATTTTATTTCACATGTATTTTCAAAGATGTTGCTCCAACAGTCTGTAAACTTACGTTCATGGCCTACCTTGTGCTAAGCACCCTGCAAGATGCTGGGAAATAACAGAGATAAAAACTA